GCATTCGCTCCCAATTGCATTATCCCTGCTCCGACACCGACCTACATATATCGGCTGTAGCTTCGGTTCATCGGGATGCCATAAGCACTCTGTGTAGACTTCTCAAGTCCCAGCCATGGTACAGACACAGCCATTCACATCGACCAACCGTATCTATCAATGCTGTGCGGGGGACAGTGATGCATTATGTCCCAGTGTTGACTGATGAATGATGGCTGGGATGCAGTAAGAATTCGTGAGGTTGTAATTGATATGCTATGATGTAAACTACAAACTAAAACTATTTTTGTATTTCAACAGGTAAGGCCCACTGAGCCATATAGCTATGTTTCTGAAGTGACCTGGTCACAAATGACAGCTCAACGTGAACATTAATAATCGTTACTTTGTTAAATATTTTTTTTACAAAACCAAAGATTAAAAAAACCCAGTCATGATAATCGCCGTGTTAAAATATTTAGCAAAGCGTATGAAACTTTTATCATGGGTCTCATATCGCCCGATAAACTGTGTGTCGCGCGGCAACCCTAACTTGAAGGCGACTCGACTTTTCATCTTCGACTTTTCATGATGACCAACGCGAAGCGTATCGTTCAACGGGGCTGTAATTGCGTGCGATCGCTAATGGTGCACGCCAACAACGCATGAACGCACGTGTGCAGTAATGCCTCGACATATAATTAATGCGTGTGATATTTATTTATGTTTCGTGACTCACCATTTTCTAGATCTTCGTACCGCTGTCGGTTTTTTTTTGTCAGGTTTGCTGTTGGAACTTGTTAACAAGCCCATACTGGACATTTGTGAAAATAAGAGCTTCACAGCTCTTCGGATTTCTCCAGTCTAAATTGAGATTCTGATTCTGAAATGGGTGTATTCGATCAACGTGGTTTCGGTATCACGAACTTTGGATTTATTACTAATATTATAAACAGAAAGCAAAACATTTCAAAGTAAATTAGTAAATACACTGAAATATCGAGCTACGGTGCTGTATAAAAATAATATAAATATAATAGGTAATGGGTTATTGAGCATTACGCATCGCGATTTCTTGTATTTACGTCAGTTTATATATTAAACTACCGCGCATTATAAAATATAATATCATCAACATAGATTATCCTTGTTTACAATACGAATGGTGAGTTAAGAAGTTTTTTTTGTTTAATAAAATGGCAATTCGCGAAGGCCGTGAACGCATCCGCACAGCGCTAATGTTACAAGTTATTCAACGTGCGAGGTTTCGACGTACGAAGGAAGCTCCAGGAACGCATCTGCTTCATACGTCGAGGTGTCACTGGTCTGCTTCAAGTCGCAAAAAAAACCCACACTGCCACACGCAGCGCTCGGTGTATTCCACAATGTGCCTGTTGTTTCGTCAAGTCGTGAGAGGGCGTTTGCTGTGCACGGCGAAGTCTTCACTTTCCAAGAAGCGCTCACGGGATGCCCGCTTCTGCGCAGGTATGCAACGAGCCGTCGTAAAGGCGAATCCCTGAAGCGGGTGTCCACTGCCGCTCTTAACTTTGCACTGCGTTTGAATAATAAATGAAGCACTGCCGATGTTCAAGGGCGGCCTGGAAATGTTGTCACGAGTGATTGATGTTTGCAAAAGGGAAAGCTGTTGAAGAGTAATCCCCCTGCCGGTCGCAAAGGTATTTACTTTCATCAGAATCTAATCAGGGACGTAATAAGGGCGGTGGAAATGTAAAATCTGCAGTCACGTGGCAACATTCTCTCGTGAACCATTTTTGGAATTTTCGTTATTCGCCTCTAATTAACGCGTAGGTTTTCGTGGCTGTGCCGACGTGTTTACTCATAAGCACAACGTGTTGTTTGGATTGATGTCCGATGTTTCACTCCGAGTATCGGGAGTATCAGGAACCAGCGATACGTCGGACACCATGCCAGACAATACGCACGCCAGAGAGTGAGATTTGCCTCTGCCGCAGGAAGTGGATTTCTGGCAAAGGTCCAATTCTGGCTGGGAATTCCAATTCACGTGTCAATTCACCTTTACCGTCAGGTATTTATAAAGGTCATGGCAATTTAATCACTTTCGGGAATTTTTTTAAGATCATGGCAATGTCAGCACACTTTCAAACAAATTCCATCAAATGCGCTGGGTCCTTAATTGGGCCTTGAAATTAAATGACAATCAATAAAGTAGCCGGACTGAACTGTAGATTGGCAGACATTTACACGAGGCAGTCTTTTTTCAGACAATGTTTAAATGCAGTGCATTACACGGATCCATTCATCATACGGGAATAGCTTCATCGGGTCTCAAGACTCGTTATGCAGGGGAGTGTTGCTCGGGAGATTTGGCCACTTGCTCTTTGAAGAAATTGTGTCATTGCTCTATGGGAGTTTGAATGCGATGAACATAACGGCTTCTTGTAAAAAAAAAGAATACATATCTGCATGCCAAACACTCAACAGTCAGATGCATCTGATTCGTTAAACTTACAAATAAAGGGTGAACATTTTGCCGATATTTATCGCTCGACTCGTCATTTAGCCTATCCCTGAAAACATGTGCATGATGAAGCAGCACTCATCCTAAGTGGCCTCCCCAGCATTTTCGCAATCCACAAGGCACACTTCACAGTACTACGCCTTGACATTTTTTGGGGGCAAAAAATCCACTGCCAATCGTTATTATTTTCACAAGGACAACCAAGCAACGGACATTGACATCGAAGCTCTGCGGGCTGAACAGCGGTGCCGCTTGTTGCAGACGATGACAAAAAAGTGCACGAAAAGTGCGGAATTCATTGGGATGTTGCGGTTGGACCTTTATACCAACACAATTCAAATCCATTGCTGCCAACTGGATCTCGCTAACCATGAATATGGAGTTCCCACTTCCACACTACGAGGCCCATTAGCCACATGTGCATCATTTTGCACGAGTGAAAATGCTGTTGATATCAATGTAATAATGCTACTGGACATCTGTGAAAAAGAGCCGTTCAGCTCATCGAATTTCTCCAGTGCAAATAGGTATTCTGATTCTGAATGATGTGTTTGCTATATGGCTGCACGAAACACTTACGCCTCTAACGGGAGGCAAATGTCAGACAAAATGCCGGTGCTACTTGCGGACATCTGTCGTGTGGCGCAAATGAACGGAACCTCGCTGGGCTTTGACGGTTGAGGTTATCTGGACGACAGCCACACAGGTGCCATGAACCCTGTTCCACTCTGCAAACTTTCAAAACGACCACGATCGCGCTTAAAACGAAGCCGACACAATGATAAACAAACATTTATACAGGACAATTTTGTTTTTGGAGCTATTTAAAAAAAAAAATTCTGGTAAGATTTATTCGTTAACTCACTTATCGGGGAACTCCTCTACCCGCAACCCCTTTTGTCTGCAGAATCTGTGGAGTGCGTACGTATAATTATCCACCCCTCTATGCATTATTATGCGGCTCTTTAAGAACTGCTTCGTGACGTAATTTATTAAGGACCACCGTCCCGTATTCACCACACGCATTGTGGCTCTTGAAATATTGGCATTTTTACTGAATTAGAAAACAATGCCTCTTCTTATTATTTTGGTCACTGAGCTCTGTCCCATACTGACTGGGAATCGTCTTCCTATTACCTTTAAACATTCCTATTATCCGTGAATACTTCCCACGGATAAGGGGACTAAACTAGTGGACAACAGGAACTGCGATGCCGTTCCCCCACATTAGCGGGGACACGGGTTCTCCCACACGGCACGTTGGTGCACCCATTACATTTGCCTTGGTGTAAGTACCGCGTATTGAGCTCTCCAATCTCAAAAGGGTCACAGGTCTTGCCTCTCGTGCTCAGGGAGGTGACCTGATATCGGAGGAAACGATCAATTGGCAGACACAGCACGCTCAGTCCGTAGCAACAATTCACCAACCCCAGTGGAACTGCACAAAAACGAGGGGGGTGGGTGGCCAGCACCACGCCTGACCGCCTTTGTCTCCCCAGTGGCGATGTTTTTTTACACACCACACCGGGTACTCATTTGAGGCTGAATATACCTAGGTGAGGCCCAGGACTGGTTCAGATAATCGCCACTGGTGATGGCCGTGAGCGGGAATCGAACTCGGGTCACCAGGTTTGTAGAACAGTGTGCTAACCGCTACACTACCACTCCCTAAAGACAAACACCCCCCGTATAGCCTTTAAGCAGACTATTGGGGCAAATGCTGTTAGCGAGCAGCACCTATGAAGTCCTCTCCCCCCCGTGGCCGTGAACACCCACACCCAATTTATATTTGTCAACACACTCGGGTGAAAAGACAACGCAGTTCATCTTTTGCACTTCAATCTACGTTTAGTTATTTTTAATTAGAGATATAAAAAATAAAATAGGTGACTGCGTAGCTTGGAGTTGGGGGTTGCGTGGTGGAGGGGGTGGGTTCCACACGCATATGAGAGCGATAATCCCGCAGTGCTTACATTCTTAAATTCTGGGCGTCCACCCAAAGTATGAACAGGCGGTTGCTCAGTTACCAGAAACGACAAACGAGGTTATTTGAATAACTCCACTATAGTTAATATTTGCAGGGGGCCCCTGCTCTGATAAGAGGTTATTATGCGGAAAGATTCTGAGCATTTATATATTTTTTTGCTTTTGAACAACTCAAAGGAACACAACCGGCGCGGGCACCAGAGTCACACAACCCCCCATGTAGAAATATTCCACAATCTATCACCTGCGGTGGTGACCTGTGTGGGGCCACCACGGTCACTTATTAAATGCGACCAACAAAACATTTATCTCATATAACCACGTGATGAGAGAGGCCTTGAAAACATTTTAGCCCCCACGCATGGTAGCCGTGGAAAAATGCGGTCGCGTAAGGAGATGTGTTTTTCGTAATTATACACTCAGCTGCAGATATTTTTAGCGTGTATATTATCTTGGGCAAAGACGACCGCTTCACAGCGACGTGACTTTTGTGGATTATGTTGGGGCGTTTTTTTGTTGTTGTTGTTGTTGTTGCTGTTGTTGTTGTTGTACACACCCGATGTGCAGCCGACAGGTGCAAGAAGATCATTTTACACGCAAATTACCGGGAGAAATCGAGGACGTCGGCAGCGCACTGGCTCAGTGGCGAGCGCGCGACAGCATGCGAGGACTTTTAGTCACCCGAATGAAAATTCACTCCGTTCATGAACGCCTACGGCGCTTATCAGCACCTGATTGGGTAAACACCGAGAGAAAAAAAAAAACAACCATCCCCAAAAACCCACACGCGACGGGGAAGGGCCCCCCAATCACTACACCTTGACAGGGAAAGAATTCGCAAAAAAAACCCCACGGACCCTTGGCGAATTTTCTCCATGGTAGAGGTAACCGGAGACATTGGCACATTTTTTTGCCACATTCAGGCGAAAAGGGGTGGAAACAACTGGCAGCACGTCAACCAGGCCCTCGCAATATCCCAGCAGTACGGCTGCATAGGTAATTGGCGGTTATGCTCTTCTCTCTCCGATGTTTTTTTCGGGTTGTACTCTGTGCTGTTTGGCACAGCGTCCCAACGTATTGCTCCACGTGCTGGGAGACATCGCGGGGAATGACACGTGGTAGAGGGCTGCCACCTCTGAGGTACAAATAAAAACACGGGACACATCATGGGAAGAATATCTGTCGATACTAACAAGGGGTTAAAGCACTACATATACACACATTGTGTTAATTGGTTTATTATTGTGGAACGTTTTCTTTTTGCATCCGAAAATATTTCGTGAACACAAAAATAAACTGGGGCAGCCACCTCAACGTGAGTTTAACCTCGGGAAAACCAGGATAGGTGGCATCCCGAACGAGACGCAACCCAAAAAAAAAACTCTTCAGATCGCAGAGCTATCGAGCACATCGACGAAAACCTACACAGAGGCACGACTCGCCTGAACGTGGCAGAAACCTCACAACGCGGGTCCGGAGAGCTGTGACAAACAAACAAAATAAAAACAAACTCGCGTGACGAGAGAGCGACGGTTACTCGGACGGGTCACATTGCTCCAGGTGCATGCGCAGGATGCCCCGTTGGTGGAGCATCCACAGCTGCTCGAACTCCTCGGGCATGGCGTGGTAGTACCAGAGGGGCGGCACGTCATCGTAGTAGTGGTGGCTGATGGCGCGGCCGCTCAGGTCCTCGCTGAAGGGCCAGAAGCCGTAGAGGTGAACGTCCTCGCACATGCCGAGGGCGGCGCTCACCAGGAACATGCCCGTCGAGAGACGCGTCGCGCGCACGCCGTTATCCATCCAGAAGGTGCCCGCGCTGTGCAGGAAGCCGGGGTTGGCGAACACGGTGGTCTGGTTCTGGTGGCAGTCGTGCAGCGTGTGGTAGACGCGCAGCGACGACTCGGTGGCGGCGCGCATCGAGAAGGCCGGCATGTACACGAAGCTGCGGCCGTAGGCGAGCATGCTCTCCGAGAAGGCCCTCCTCGACCACAGCAGGTTTTGGTACCTGGAAAGGATTAGGTCGGTCGGTCGTCATTGCCGTCGTCGCCGCCGTCGCCGTCGTCGTCACCATCGTCATTACTGTCATCATCAACGTCGTCGTCATAATCATCATCACCGTCGTTGTCATCGTCACTGTCATCAACGTCGTCATCGTCATCGTCGTCATCATCGTCATTATCACCGTCGTCGTCTTTGTCATTGTCGTCATCATAATCATGGAGGTCGTCATCATCGTCATCACCATTGTCGTCATAACTTTTTTCATTATCGTTTTCGTCATCACTTAATATTTATAGCAAACTTCCCATGCTATACGTCCTGAGGCGCCCTAATGCAGTGGACCACCCCGTGGCAGCTGTCGCTGTGTGGCACACAATAAGTCACTAGACATCTGTCAAAAAGAGCTTTAGAGCTCATCGGATTCCCTCAGTATAAATAAATATTTGTATTCTGATTCTGAATGCAGAACAGGCCTGAGAGTTGGTCAATATTAGCCTGCGGGTCGTGGGAGCAAAGTTGCGATGTGGTTTTCCCCTACCACTACCCCGACCCCTACCACTACCCCGAACCCTTTCCCTACCCCTGCTACTCCCTGCCGCCACCACCCAGCTCCGACCAGGCCTACCCCAACCCCTCCACAACCACTCCTGCCTGCCCTCCTGTCCCCATAACTACACCACCACTCTTAATGAACCCCACTTGATCTCAACCACTATCATGTTATTTACAATTGTTATAATTCCTGTAAAGTGCCTTGGAGTCAGGTGCTATGTAAATCCATGGAAGATAAGATGAACCCATGGCTACTGCACCCCAATCATGAACCTCTGGGACAGGCGCTCAGCCTTGTCCATGCAATGGCAGGCAGGGAGAGCGAATCTGTAATTCAATGACGTGTGCGTGTACAGCCCTTTTGTCAATCCACTGCTGGATGACGAGGACTTCCCCACACCACGTGGGATGTCAGGGAGTAGTTGGTTATACTTCACGTATACTGGTGCGTGCAAGATGGTGAAAGAAAGGGGCATAGATGTCAGCAGCATCGAACATTAAACCCAAAGATTTTGCTGCACTGCGCTCTGCTGACAAACACTTTGCTGCCGCAGCCTATAACACCTGTTTTATACGTGACGATCGCCCCTCCGAGCACTCTCCCGGCTCAATCTTTGCTTAGCTTCTGAGTTCTGATGAAATCGGGCACATTCTGGGTGTAACAGTCGGAGGCAAATGTAAAGATGGGAACGAATGTTCACAGAATAAAATTAATGTCTCGTGAGCGAGTGAGCGAAAGTGGCAATTTGCATAGTCAATAGTTCAATTCCCACAGCTGCCCCATGGCTTTTTCTGTGGGGAAATTTCCACGGCCAGCCATCTGCTGTAAAGTGCATTCAACAAAGTAAAACCCATTGCAACATCACTCACAAGAGAAGGCCATTGTGGTCTAATGTCACATCCCCGAAAAACCCAAATTAGAAAGATTACCATCAATCCGTGCCCAAGAAAGCCCCGGTTTGGCGAATAGCTAAAATCTCACAATTTCCCGTTTAAAGTAGATAATGGGACGGATAACTTCCAGTTTAAACGAAGGACATTAATTACATATACAGACACGTGCCAACAACAACAACAACAGCTTGATTTAAATCTACAAAGATTTACAAATCCCAGTGAGATGCTTCAGTGCGAAACAATCAGAGGTATAAGTACACCGTTCGTCGTGCACACAACGGTGCCAACAAGGGAAGACATTTTCAACAACTAAACGCAAGTGATCCCCCCCCCTCCGCCTCCTGACGCCATCAGCAATTATTTGCACTTGAGTTCGAGAGAGGCCTTGTTCACATTTCAGCGGAAGCGTCACACGCCGTTCGTTTTTGGTGAAGGGGTAATTTTTCAGCTTCTATCGCCGAGAGCGAGGCGTAAAGTGGCGTTTGCTCACTCGGGGGTACGAGGAGGTCTGCCTCTGAGTCGCTCTCGCCCTGTGTGTGAGTGTGTGCGTCCATCCATCCCAGAGTACCTCTCTATCGCCGTGTGTCTCTCTCTTAGTGCCTCACTCCTCTCTCCTGCTGTGTCGGTCTCTTTGCATCCCCCATTGCCACTAAACCGTTGTTTCTCACTTATCTCAAGTCTCTCATCTTATCTCAAGTGTCTAATCTTATCTCACAAGTCTAATCTTATCTCACGCCTCTCATCTTATCTCAACTCTTTCATCTTATCTCAAGTCTCCCCCTTTGCCCATGACTCTTTCCCCAATGTGTGCAAGCCCTCTCCCCGCGTTTCTCTCTCCCCGTGTATTCTCTCTCCCCGCGTTTCTCTCTCCCCGCGTATTCTCTCTCCGTGCCTGTCGATGCACATGTGTGCGTATCCGTACCGGTTGTATTTGCATACGCGAGTGTACGTGGAAAATATCTGAGCCTCGCTTAGGTCGACTCAGCCTTAAATGAGTATGGTGTGTAAATATCAGCATTGGGGAGGCAAAGGACATGGTACTGGCCAGCCGCCCCCTTCTTGTGCCGTGTCGGCCTCCATATTTGCTCGCGAACAGCACTTGCTCAGAAAGTCTGTTTAAAAGGCTACATGGGGCGACCTGCAGACTTTAACTACTCCAAAGACTACGGGAGGTTACTCCCTCCTGTAGTCGCTACCATCGCGCTACTAAATTGCATCGATGATTTGGGTGTTTAGACCGCGGCAGATCAATGACGTGGCCTTCGTGGGCTATTGAACAAGCTAAACCGGCTCAGATGGAGGGGGCTAATACACGTGGACCCAAGCGACTGCACTCCTCTTTCAACACAATTATGATCCCTACAAGATTGGAGCCGTCTCCAGAAACAATGAGAATGCCCAAGAGGCCTAGCTCTGTATTCCCCTATATGGGGAAACCCATCCCTTCAAAATAGATAAGAAAGTCCGTAATATGGCAGGAATGGCAAAATAAAAAACATAAGGTTAATTCGAGACATAGTAGACTCACAAGGACACATTACTTATGAACAGAACACCAATTACTCGCTTCCCATTTTCTTAGGTATGCCCAACTCAGAGCGGTCTTGCGGGATAAGAACTATCCATAAACCGTACTGTCACCCAAACAACGTAGTGGCTCATGGACCCCGAACAGGAAAACAAGCTTTCAGTCAGCTACACCCTGCTACCAAGACAAGCCTCCGTACCACGACCGAAACCGACAAAAACCTGGTCTTCCCATAACGGTGCCCCTGTAGGAAGTGCCGCAAGAGACAACATCTGGGCTCGTATGCTACAACATCTTCACTCGGCCCGTCTCAGAGAAACACAATTTAAATTTCTCCATGGCTATTACTTAACTAACCAAAGAGGCAAATTCGACAAAACAACCTACCCCAACTGGCCACGATGCCACCCGGAACTCCTCAAACATACAGGCATTGCCTTTTGGAAATGTCCACACATTAACGAGGTTTTTTTTTTTCAAATGATCACTTTGCTACTTTAACCACATTCACAAAAAAAGTATCTCACCCTCACCAGAAACGTCACTTTTGGGGTTGAAACCTCAAGGTCTTTCCAGGGAGGCAAATACATTATTCCAAATGTTAAATGTTACGGCAAAACGCACCATTATAGCCAACTGGAAAGAGCATGCTCCCCCCAACACTGCAGGAATGGGCCAATACTTTGTCAAAAATGGCCGCTCTAGAGCGTCTAAGTGCAAAACTAAGGGGCAGGGAGGAAGCTTACCACCAAACGTGGAACTCCTTCACTACCTCACCTGCAGTGTGCATTGATTCTTAAAAGCGTTCATTGGGGCATTTAGGCCCTTTGTGTTTTTTGTTTTGTAAGTGCTCATATGCAACTTTGGACGTTTGCAAGTGTATATCTACAATCGTGTATATACGCGTGTTATACGCGTGTCTGAGTTCATGCATTCACTGAAAATGTGGTCTCGAAACCAGGAGGTTTGAGAATTATTGGCCCAAGGGGCAAGTGTGCAAGCGATAAGAAGGGAAGATATTTAACTCACCTCATTTGAATGATGCTGGGGTTGGCTGTAACTAGGTGTGTCTTTGTGCCAATGTCTGGCTCATACTGCTTTGTAATTGGGGGCAGGTTGCACCTTAAAGGACAAAAACAAATGACAAACAAGCATCGTCCAAACTCAATAATGTACATCTGTGCACCCGACATATATGAAGTATTTACAAATTTCGAACGCGCGCTTATGGCCCGAGTGTATATAGCGGCGTTTAAAGAATGTTTACATTTTTTTTACGAACGTTGCTTTGTGAATGGCTCATGGGAAGCCCAAGTTCAATGCTGCAGAAAATGTATGGCCATGTTCGGTAAATGCATGGCGTCAATCATGGACTCAAATACGATAAAGCAGTTCCTCGTTCGACGCTGTAGGTGCGCTCCTGCAAGGTGCCGTGTTCCGCGGAAACAAAAATTCCCCCATCAGAAATTACGTAAAAGGTGGGGGGGGGGGGGGGGTGGCTGCAAGATGCCACTCAGGCCGTGCAGCTCAAGAAAGTAGGAAGACTGCAAGTTGACGTGCGCGTGTGTGCGAGAAGCGCTCCCGACGAGTTAAGGACCGTGTCGGAGCGTGGACACGCATCGCGGTGTGAACGCGCGTTTTAAACGAGGACTCATCGTACCGGAAAAAATAAAAGGGAATTTTTGTTGTTTTGTTTACAGCATATCAAATGCATAGAGCATGAAGCCCGGTGCAGTGGTTGTCAAGACTGGAATTGAAATCTCAAGGTCGCCGGTTCTGTCTCCGGGCGCGGCAGTCGGAACAATTCACGCGCCTTGTAAACTTCCCTCACCTCTGTTTTCCCGCAGCATTACAAACAGGTAAGCCGCAGGTTACGTGTGGTGGGGTAAAGTGTGGGTACCTCATCCAAGACGTCTGACCAGCGTGGATAAGTCGTCCAAAATACCCTTCTGGAGAGAGCTTTCCCGAACTAACTCTGGCGGAGGCTCTTCTGCCAGCAGTGGCGTGAGCGGGTAATTTGCAGGTTTGCACATTTATCTTTACTTTACAAACACACATATGAAGCAATGATCGAATAAGCATACTCTACATGTTGACCTGTACTAAAGTGTATACGTGAGCTGAATCTTATATTGCGGGAACTTAATTAAATGCGTGAATAGATGGAAGGGGAGTGTTGTAGACTGTACCGACCGCAGCCTGCATATATTTGATAACATTCCGTTAGTGTTGCAGAATTAAATCCAGGCCGTGTAAGCACACCTAGATGTACAAAAATAGCGCAGAGTACTTAGCGAGCTGCTTAGAGTGCAGTCAAAACAATAAATTAGTATTATTGCTAAATACGTCACTGAGTGTCAAATTGTGCTACTCTTCCATATCCAAGCTATTTAATTTATATGGTGAACGAAGGTCTGTGTATTTCATTGTTCACAACGCTCCACAACAACGCATCACGAACCCTCTCATTTGCCAAATCGCAAAGAATGGGACAGGGCAACTATATTGAACTGGTTAAAAAAAAATTGTATGCACAGCCCTTGATAAATGCACCGCTGGATGAAGGCCTCCACACACCTCTCAGTCATGGGGGTTGTTTGACCATACTTCACCACGCTGGTCGGTGCAGGTTGGTGAAGGAGGGGCCTTGGAAAAGTTCAGAAACACCACTGATCCTACCCACGGCTGGGAATCAAACTCCACCGAGCTTTTATCTGGGTTAACGATCGTCCTATCGCAGCAATAAATGAATGACAAAGTGACAATGAGCAACCGAACCGTGAACAAGTACCCCATAATCATTCACGGGTTACCCACCGGGTCTAATAGGTGAATTGCTTATCTGGGAACGTTGGATCTTACCGGAATATGACGTCAGCCTCGTCTATGTCTTTTCCACAGCCGTGGCCCAACATGATGGCACTGTTCCCAACGATGGCGCATCTCTTCAGAAGCTTCTGACCCAGCGGCTGGTGCTGCAAATACAAACAAAAAAAGACAAAGATCTTCCGTATAGCCTTAATAGACTGTTGGGGCAAGTGCTGTTAGCGAGCACCTATCAAGGCCGGCACGGCACACGAGGGGGTGGGTGGCCAGCAGCCACGCCCGGCCGCCTTTGTCTCCCTGGTAGCGATGTTTACATATTTCACCAGGTACTCATTTGAAGCTGAGTCGACCTAGGGGAGGCCCAGGACCGGTTCAGATAATTGTCACTGCTGTTGGCTGTGAGCGGGAATCGAACTCGGGTCACAGGGTCCATAGCGCAGCGCAATAACCACTACATTGAAAATGCACACACACACCCGCACGCGTGAGCATTATCAACAGGTTATATAGCTTAAGCAATGCTACCACAGGGGTGTGATAGTCATCACGCTGGACTTGCAAATCCCAGAGGTCATCTATTCGATTCGATCTCCTGCAGCGACGATTGACACAATGGTTAAAGTATCTTAAATCCCCCCCCCTCCCCCTCTGTACACCGAGCAGTATCAATGGTCAGAATCAGAATCTTCATTTATCCTGGAGAAATCCGATAAGCTATGAAGCTCTCTTTCACAGACATCCAATGGTCACACTATAGTCAGTCGATCGGCAGGTCACGTTCGGTAGGGCACTTCAACCTCTTCCAACATGTGTGGCCAGGGTGGAAGAGTATACCGCATACTGAGGGGTATCAATAGAGCTCCCGCTAGTGAACGGCACACATTTACTGCCTGAGAGAGCACATGTACACACGTGCAGCCCTTTAATCGATCCACTGCTGGATGAGTGCCTCCCTACACCGTGCGGGTGTTTTGTGATCATACTTTGCCATGTTGGTCAGCAGTGACACCTGAAACTCGCACGGTTGGCTACGTACGGCGCAAAACAAGTTCAACTTGCGCATATTCGACCTACGAACTTTCAACGATACGAACAAACCTGTCCGTATGTCCAGTTGCCTGTTCAATAGACGGCGGTGGTCGTTCGGTGTCATTACCCAGCATTCCCAGAATTTCTGCCAGGGCCGCCACCAATGTCTGTTGTTGTGTTGTCGCTGTGGGGTTCACTACGACGCTCTCTCTCTGTGTGCTTTTCACGAACATAATGCTGTTGCCCGTTACAAGTTGATTCATGAACAGAAGAAGAGAGCAACTGTGCAGACATCACTTGGTACGTTTTTTCTACATCGGCATGACCTTTAAAAACCAGTGGCATCTACATCCGCAGAACATGAAGAACCAATTGCATCGACAGGAAATTATACAAATACTCTTTGGTTTTTTCGGTAAAGTCACGTAGGTAAAGACTTTACCGAAAAAACCAAAGAGTATGAATCCTTGCAGTCACGAAAGCTTCAAATCTAGAATTTTACAAATTTTAAAGCCATTCCCGGTGGTTGGTGTACATGCCGCATACCATGTTTGGAAATCGACAGGAGTAAAGTTGGACTTACGTATAAATCCAACTTACGAACAGAATTCTGGAACTTAACTCGTTCGTAAGTAGAGGAGTCCCCACCTAATTTTTTTTAAAAATAAAAATACACTTAAAATATATGTATTATTATGCACTGCCCTAAGAATGCCTCTCCCCTTATAATGTGGAATGAGCAAAACTCTCTGCGATGATAAGCTTTTAGCAGTGAGCAATGATATCATTAAATAATGCTTCATCATCGTCATCAGAAACGTGAAGGCGACGAAGGCCACGTGGCTTCAACCAATGTCCCCATTCCATTGTAGGAGGAGGCCTCGTGTAAGGCAAGGACGACGTCACAACCGACTGGGCGCGCGACCGGTACGGCGCCGCGATGGAAACGTCTCAAGATCAACTCTTTGCCCGCATGGAATTATTGGGGCACGGTGTACTCTATCCGTGTGTGTATAAAACACATATTATGTTTCCCTTCTACGTGACTTTACCGAAAGAACCAAGGATATAAGTAGAACGTGTTGTCTATTTTTATTTAAAGTTGCGCATTTTGATGTGACGTCACATTTCTCAACCACCCGCTCCCCTCGTCACACATCGTCACAAATGTCTGATCCAGCCCCCCCCCCCCCCTAGGTGCGTGACGTCATTTATGGACGGTCCCCAAGTTAGCAACTGAGGCGTTGCTCATCTGTTCTTTACAACCCTGAGCCAGTGTTGGAAATTACGCATTCCTTATGGCAGGGACGAGTCTGCCCATAGTACAACCAGTGTTAACTTTAGAATCAGAATATATATTTAGACTTCTTTCACGCCGTACGAAGACAACCGTGCTAATAGGAGATGCGGGTGAAGGACAGCAAACTAAACACAAAAAAGCAGTTCTAAAGAATTGAATTTTCAATCTATCATTATAAGTGTATAGCTCTGGTGGCTTCCGAATATCGGAAGAAGAGCGTTCCAGATGGCCGCAGAAGCGCATCCGGAACGCGCGACGCGGTGACCGTCTTTGTTCGATGCACGATCGATCGGCATAAGCAGATTGGATCGTGACTCATTCCGTTTAGCGTTCAACAACTTTAAAGTTCGTTGAGCACTGACTCTGCCATGCCACGCAGGGACAGAGGCCACAGCAGGGGGATCCTCTTCGAATATACGAGATGTACTGTATGGTGCTTTGATTTGCCATGTTCCTTCGAAACTGTGAGAAAGACACTATTAATTGATAATTACGTTAAAGGCCATCATTTCAGGTCATCAATCTACCGACCCTGAAGTGTGACTTTGTTTAGCGGTAAGGGGGTGGGAGTTCACAAAAACTAAACGGGGCAGGGGGTGACGGGAGAGTCAGTGCTCAACAAACTTTAAAGATGTTGAACGCTCAACGGAATGAGTCACGATACAATCTGCTTGTGTTGATCGTGAATTTTGCTCCGGTTCTCACCCTGTGTACATGACGAAAAACCATGATGCCCGTCGATTAATTGCCACCCGTGTTAAAATATTGTACCAACATTCTTGTCAATTGACTGCAAAAATCTTTATAATGGGGACTCATATTTGTGCTATAAAGAAGGCCCATTGCCCCGAAACTTCGCCTACTCATATATATTTCCTTTTGAAGGCACAGTGTTCCGTTTTTTTGCTATTTGTGCTTGTGCACCACTACCAACGCAGCAGGATCCCAAAAAAATGTGTACAACAGGGACTGAGCATTTACTTCAAGACGCCTTTTGCTCCATCAAGTTCGGAGGGCTTTACGTGTGCTTTGCTACACACTGGTTTGTTTAGTTTCTCCATCAGTCTGCTTTGTATCATTGTTAACAACAACAAGAAAACCACATCAGCCATGAGAAAATGCAAAGGCTTAGTGTCGTTATAGAGGTAGACTTTTTAAAATCATTACAAATATTACTTTGACAAAAGTCCACCATGTTATCCAAATTGTGCCTATGCTCTTTCTCGCGCTTGCTGTGTTGTGTTTTAAAATACGGTCGGCTACGCAAAGGCATTTCTGCTGCGTGCTCTCCCACCAGCATTATCAAGAGGGTCAGTGGAGCTTATTTCGATGGCCTGAGTAAATATAAGTTCCCTGGGCTGCAAGACTCAATGGCTACTTTGCATGTGAAATGGCGTGCAGACTGAGCGCCATGGAGACCACTGCATTGTGGCGTGATTGATCAGCGTTTTAATGCGTCTAAGCCAAAAACAATTTGGCTGTGTGCTGCATAACAACTACATGGTAATTGATTTTTTTCAAAGTTATGAGCCAATGCCTATCCAAAATAATGAGGAGAGAGCAACGACGCAGATTCGTTAATATAAAAACTGTTATTTGCGTGCAGAAATCAAGCGCATCGAATTGCGTATGCGTGATCGTTCCGTAAAATATGCAACGATTGAAGATTTTAAAACTTTGCAAATGAAGGTCACAAAATGTCTTATCGTGTCCAAGTATCATTTCATAACAAATAAAATGTAATGAAGCAGGTGTTGCTTTAAAATGAGATCATTGGCAACACTAAAATTAATACGTATTTAAAGTTTCATGTATCAGAAACACATATAAGGTGGCCCAAAATTTCCGATCAGTATGGTTGGCTACCTACAGTGCGAAAGAAGTTCAACATACATAGATACAGAGGGTTATACTGGTAGGAAACATAGTGGACTGGAAGCCCAACCGGGATTAATCCACAGGAGGCAGGGGATTCATTGTGTATGTCTGTGGATGTCTGTCCACATGTATCCGGACACCCGGATATATAACAAATGCGCTCCTAGTGGACATTCCTGGTAGGAAACGTAGTGGACTGGAAGCCCAACCGGCATTAATTCACAGGAGGCAGGGGATTAATTGTGTATGTCTGTGGATGTCTGTCCACGTGTATCCGGACACCCGGATAAAATGGGAGGGGTAGGGCTGGGTGGAGAGGGGAGGGTGGGGAGGGGCTGGGGAGGGTGGGGAGGGGAGGGTGGGGAGGGGTTGGGTGGGGAGGGTGGCGAGGGGCTGGGTGGGGAGGTTGGAGCTGGGTGGGGGGTGGGAGGGGTGGGGCTGGGTGGGGAGGGGCTGGTCACCCCGTGGTGCCCTTATAAAACTCAACGTTTAACCTACTCACACCGGCTTGTGCCCGCCCTTACAGTCGGGCATATTTGCGGAATACACCACGTGGTGCCGCCGTTGACCCTGGCCATTGACCGAGCAACCCAACGTTCCTACCAGCTCCCTCCACAGGAATGTGTTTTCATTTACAGGCATACACCGGTTTACGCCCAGGATGCGTTCCCGAAAATCAAAACATAAATCGAAGTACTTAATTCAAAGGATGTTGGATGGATTGTAACGTGGCACAAAACCTAAATAGAGGATGCTCAGTAACCCATTGTGCATCGAGGCTGTACAACCATCGGTGTGAAAGTGTGTATTATTGATACATTCCGATATATGATTTACCTTATCTATTATACTACTAGCTTTTGTGCCCGTCCACTTAAATACGGGCCAAAAAGGGGAAAAATACTAGTTGTTCGGGCACCCAACAGCCTATTAGTAAGGGAT